TGCGCTTCCACCGGTAACGATCGCAAGATCCAAAAAACTGTAACGCAAAAACCACTGCGACGGCTACGAAACCACCACTTGCAGCTCCCAAAAACCGCTTTTCTGTGTTTCTCTCTCTCTCTTCAGAAGAACAAGAGGGATAGAAAACGCGGATTGTGCAGAAAGAGAGAATCTCCCATAAACTGGTCCGCACGTGTCTTATATTATTCAGCCACTTCGTTTGCTAAAATACACATTAAGTTCCTAAAGAATACATTAAGATGTGTTTAAAAAGATAATGGGCTCTGATTAAATGCTCCTAATACTTGTCTATTAGGCAGAAAAAGCACATGAGTCAGAGTGCAGAAAGAGAGAATCTCCCATAAACTGGTCCGCGCGTGTCTTTATTCTTATAAAAAGAATAAATTCTCAACTCACTGTCACTGACAACGAAGCTTCTCTTTTCTTTTGTAGGGAACCAAAATAAAGTACATTGGGTAAGGTCGACCCAGTCTATTTCCCTTTGAAGTTTTTGTTTTTTTGAAACGGGCTTTCCCTTTGAAGTTTGAATATGATGCTTTCCTCCAATTTTTTTTTTTTTTTTGTCAATGTGTATTGCACATGCATACGGTCCATATTCAAATCATCAATCTTCATTAAACATGCGATTATAAGCAAATTTCCAATCTTATGTTTCTTATTATTTTATTTTACCTTTAAGGAGCGTGGTAGAAATTGGTGGAGGTCAGCACTCAAAGTGAGGACTAAAGTTCATAAAATAAAATAAATAAAAAAAGAGGACCAAAGTTAATCAATAGTGTTGCTGGAGATATAGGTGGGCTACTGATATAGTAATATTATCTACATTATATGAAGTTTAAAATAGAGTTAGCTGGGAACTGGCTGGGTATACTTTGATTGCCAATGCATTAGAGGGGCCTACATTTTTTAAAAGTAATGATGGAATGCAATTCAAACACAATGTTGTGTTTGTCATAAAAATGAAAAATATACTACTGTAATACAGTGGTATGCAAACAATGGTTTGTTTTTTTAATTACTCTACAGTTGTCAAATTTGGATCTCTTAGTTTGTATCAGACACATTTTCCAGTTAGGGAATTCCTAGAAGATCAAAGTGGGAGTTTTTTGGGCTTACCGTTATATTCAAAATTGGAAACTAGGCTAGGCTGGCTGCTAGCCATGTTTCCTTAGGGTCATTAGCCCTACCCATTTTTCTAAAACTGTCGTCCCTTTTGCGTAGAAGATGGATCCTCGTCGTATCTGCATGCATTCATTGACGTTAACGCCTTCTTGTGGGATTTGTCACGTTTCCAAATTGGCTTAATTGTGAACTTTGCTGACTAAATTTGGAAGATGGTTGTTCCTCCACTTGGCTTCTTCCTCACCATAGCTTTTTTCCGTCTGCTTCTGCCATGGTTTTTATAACACCGTCGTGTTATTACTGGTTGTTATTGGCACCACCCACCACTTCAGTAGAAAGATATCCATTTCATCGCAGTATAATTAATTACACAGTTTGACAGTTTGAAGAACAGGGACCTTTAATAGGACACCTCCACAATTAACAATCGAAGCTATTCAATTCGTTATATTCACTTACTTGTCCTCTTTAGTAACTTATATTAATAATTAATATAAGGTCCCCAGTTACGTTCTGGATTTAATAACAGTAAGCGAAAGATTATTTGGCAATCATAGGTTCATAAGTAGTCCAGAACACATGTACCTAGATGATCTAAATTAAGACGATACATATATCAGATTATAATCCTAATTAGTTTATTTATAATCCTTACGGCCCACATTCTAGACTTCGGCCTTATTCAGGCCCATTAAAAGATTCCTTGGACTTATTGGCCTCGAAGTCCAATGGAAATGCTTCTCTTCTTCAGTATACAACGTAGCAGTTAAATCCAACTGTGTTAAAGAGGAGAGAGCAAGGGTTCGTCAGGACTAGAATATGAAGAGGAGTTCTCCAAAGTTTTAAAGATAAATTCTCATACAAACAATTTAAACCAGCAAATCTTAAGAGGGCTTTGGTCCACCGAATCAAGGAGTCACGACACATACTGATTCATACACAATAACTTAAAAAAGATCAAATCCGCCTGGTAAGAAGCCCCACATCACATATTCACATGCATAGCAGCTAGCCTTAGCCCATAGCATACTTCTGGGTCCAACTCCTTGCAGTTGTCTCGTACTTGCCCCTGTCAGTCTTGTACATGTGGGCAATCTCCGGTACCAAT